CTAATACCCACCAACTCGTCCACTCACACCCCACCCCCCCCCTCGCCACACGCCACACCCACACCCACACACCCACACTCTATTTGTTTACCGTCAAGCAAGTCTACAAAAGATCATATTTAACGAACTACTTTACTTCTTTCTTTTAGTCAACAAGAAACAAAACTAGAAAACAGAAAAAAAATTATAAAATTCAACTCTTAAATTCAAGGCATTTAACAAATTTTATTCAGTAATATGAGGAAAAAACTGTTTTTATTTTAACATCTAGTTTCAGACTATTGATATCAAGTCTACAATAGATATATTTTAAGTTGATGTAAAATATTTTTGTAAATGTTTCATAGATCAAGAGAACTCAATTTTTGTAAAATGGTTTTAATCGAGATCGTAAGATAAAAACGAACTAACATTTTTTTACATTGAAACTGGAAAACATTAGCTGTGAATCGATTTGTAATAACTAACCAACGAAAGAGTTGCTTAAAAAAAAACAATATTGAGTTGAACTCCAGTTAAGAAGTCGATGGTTCTTTTAAAGATACTATATACGTAGAGAATAACAAGTCGAACCAAATAGAAATACTATTTTTTTATAAAAGCATCTACTTATTGTATTTCTAAATTATGTTTTGCATTACTAAATGAGTAGCATTTGCACATAGATGAATAATATTTCAAGTTTTTTTTGATAGAATTTCTTCGTACTGAGTATGGTAAATGGAAATTGAAAAGATTTATCGATTGATAATAGCTTGGGATTGAATCAGAGTTGAAAAATCTTTTAATAATATCGATATCATTTCGAAATCTTTCGATACGAAGAAAATTTTAACAAGAGTTGATAAATATTGTTATTAGGCACCATTTTCGAAAGCATAAAAAGACTCGATATTATAAAATACTATTATTATTTCATAGATTTGCTCATCAATATGTAAATGAAATAATTGTTGTTGATAAACGAAGATTATTTTGTCTCCTAGTTCTCTGTTTATCATCAAACAAATGGTTCTTTTCTATTAACAATAGTGAAATTTTGAGAGGTTCTTACTTCAAAAACAAAAACGTTAGGTACCATTATTTTTGAATATCTATTCGCCTATCGTTGTTGTTGGTTATCTATTCTAATAATCTGTGTTTTCATGAACGTCGTTTAGATGAATTCCTCGAGAATATTTTTTTTTAATCATTGTATATATTCCGTGTTATTTGATATCATTAGCTGTTGCAGATAAAACTTCAATAAATAGTGTTAAGGAAAGAATATCATGTATTATAACTATTCAAATTTTTATTAGAAATTACATGCGTAGCAATGACGTCAATCAGGTACTCACACACGATTTTGTTTATATGTTTTGACAACGTTAAAAAATGAGAAAAAGAAAAAAAAATGATAAGAAACAAATATATGAATACTATAAATAGTCCATAATATAGATATTTTTTCATTATATTCAGCAGTAGATGATGTTTAGTGTAAGATTTTTGTACAATTTTATTCTCTTACATGTCCTTTTTGTTGCACCGCAAATCAATCTTCATTATACGAATTGGAAAAGCGAAAGTGACAATAGCAATGTATTACAGCATCATTGTTTACGTGTTCTTGCTTCTATGGATCGCGCAAATATTACTCGTGAAATTATTTCCTTTTGTACGAATGACTTACCATCGAAATTTCACACAGAGAACAATAATGTTCTCTTTCCAAAATTAACTTTTGCTGAACTTTCAAAGCAGAATATTACTAGTCGACAATTATACCTTTGGTCAACACCAATAGATCTTATTGAACATTATTAATTCTATTTTAATCAAATATCAACATCTAATGATAAATCGCTCGAACCACAAATTTTCTATAATTGTACATTACCAAGATTTGGTTCTATGTGTTAATATGAAAATATGTATTATCATCAAGATCATTCAACTTTATTTGAATTTATTCATGATTTTTATCATACATATGAATATAATCCAACTAATTTTACTTGTTCTACTCATTTGCAATGTGATTGTGGTCCTTTTTCAGCATGTTTAGATTGGAATGAAGTATGTGATGGAGTGGTGGATTGTCTTGACGGTCATTTTGACGAAGAACATTGTTGGCTACTTGAAATTAATCAATGTAATGATGATGAATATCGATGTATTAATGGACAATGTATACCACAGTCATTTTTTTCTAGATGATTCTAACAGTCCTGATTGTATGGATAGTTCTGATGAAGTTCAAATAACGGATAACGCTAGTAGTCAATGCAATACAGATACAGCATCATTTCAATGTGAAGAAAGAACATGTAAACGTCAATTTCTGCCAAGTTCTTGTGAGGAAAACCTCAAATATTTACTCTTCAAGCCGATCTATTCAAACAAAGATGAATCTATACCAGAACATTGCGGATCAACTTTTAAATGTATGTTAAACATACCAGATCCAGAAGAGCCATTCTCTAGTAAGATTTGTGAAAAACCAAAATGTCTCGAGATTATTTAAACTACATGTCAAGATATGTTTTACATTCCGAATGTTCAACTCGTTTTTGGTGAGATTTACATAGCACATAGAAAAGAAGATCTGGTAGTGTGAAACAATCAAATAATGTATGTTATAGTCATTCTCGTTATGATAAATATTTTATTGATATGTCAAATGTTTTATTCAATAAGAAAACTTGTGCCCTTAATATCCCCGTATCTTCGGAAATGTCATCTACATGAGAACAGAAATACTTTCTACCTTTAACCCAACTATTAACATATATGTAATGGTAAATAATATAATTATTAACTATACTTCTGTAATTTGTAATAGACTAGATATGTCCTATTGTGTTAATTCGTCTAAATGTATCTCACCAAATTGTCTCATGGACGTGAAATTTGATTGCCTTGGAATGGATGATGAAGATATGATGCACGTCAATGACGCTAATTTGGCAAAATCTTTTAAAAATTATTTCAAATGTGAAATATTAAACGAATACATTCATCCATCCCTCGTTAAAGATGAACGTTGCGATGATATTTGGTATTGTTCCGATGACCGAGATGAAATTGGTTGTTATTTATCTGTAACATTAAATTGTTCTTCAGATGATCACATATGTGTTTCACCTCATACAAATCAATACATGTGTTTATCCGTTACGAAAGAAAATGACGGCATAATTGATTGTCTTGGTGGTATTGATGAACTTAAATGTTATTTTCCGTATGACAGTACAGTTTTCAAACGATTTTACTGCGAGAATAACTTTCTATACCTATGCATTCCTGGAGATAAACTGTGCGATAAAGCTGAAAATTGTAAATATGGAGATTATGAACAATTTTGTATGAAAATCTTGTTAGCGCAGCCCCTTTGGGGCTGAAATGTGGAACTCACATATGCTCCCTAGCCTCATTCAACTGATACAAAATGCGTAAACTGAAAAATCTCTCTTAGACTATAGTTGTTTTGCAGGAAAATCAATCGCAAGAGTAAGAATCTCTCTAATGTCGAACAGAATGTTTTTTAAACTTTTTTCTATGAGCGCCCTATTTTTTATTTGCATTGTTGCTATTCGCTCATTATTTTTTTATTTTTTTTAATTCGTTTTTCTTAATTTATCATTCTTAGTATTATAATCATTGAACTGATTAACAAATAAGTGTGTTTTACATACCTATGATATCTACATCAGACCTTACACACTATCATATATATTAATCAAGTCACAAATAAGGATATTCATTATTTTTCAAAATTATAACTGAATCAATTTTCCAAAACAAAACTCGAAAAAATTAAACACCTTTTATTATTGATTCTGAAGGTCTGTAATGGGGGGGGGTTGGGCGCAAAAACTCGAACTTAAAACTTACACTCACTATTTTCTTCAAAAATATATGTGAGTTCCACAAAAGTAGTATGAATCTTTATCGAAGATGTCGAGATTTCTCATCAAGCATTTCATTGATGTTGTTATTGCCAAAAATCACCATGGAATTGTTCACATGGAAGAAGAATATCATGAATATCGTCATTGCCTGCTCAAGTAAAAGGAAACTGATACTTAAAAATAGGTAAATGTGTTAACTATGATATGATTAAATATTGCCATCGATCAGCTGTTTGCCATCATTAACGATAAGACTGAACACTTTCAGATTATGTATGCATTTGAAGATAATATCCATTAATTGAAAGTTATCTTCGTAATCACCGAGATTAAATCGTGCTAGAGATATTACCGAATTCGTGGGATGGCTCGATGTGATCATCTCTTTCGAGTCCCATGTAATTTAGCCTAAAGTGAAATTTATTAACCTTGGTGCATATTCAAAGATATTCAGCGCTTGCACTAAGTTGTCAGAAGAAAGTGTTAAACTTTTCATCAACGATGTTCGTGTTGAAGTTGGAATTTCATCAAGTAAACTTAGGATAGTGAATCATTCTAATTTAGTCAACGAGATATCATCTGACACATTATTTTTATATGCCATGTTTGTTAAATATGCATCAGATAAATGAATGGAATGTATTTGTACTTTGATCAGCGGATTTTTTCGTGTTTTCATACAGAACTGCTCAAATCTAGACTCCGATACATTTTCCAAATTCAAATCCAATAGAATTGATCGAAATAATTTGGCAAATCGATCATAAAAATGATCAAATGAATCAAATAAATCCAATACAATGAAAAATATCAAGTATCTCAATACTTTTATTTCAGGCAAAAATTTTAATAGCCGAAACAGAAAAAATTATATGTTAGTATTCGCTTACTAATCATTTTTTCTTGTATCAAAGAATAAAAAGGACTGAAGCAGATCTATGTTTATAATTATATCCTTCTGTGCATACAATGTAAAACAATTCAGAGAGACAATGCGGATTGTATGAGGAAACGAGTATATATGAATATATAACTACTCGCAACGATGTGTTCTGCTTTCTTCTCTTGTAAACGTTATACCATACATTTGGTTCTCAACAATATAACTCATATAGCGATGTAGACAATATCGACAACAAATGTGTATTCTCTTCTTGCGCCTTTTCCGCATCACCGATGAGTATAAACATATAAAGACAGTTCGATAATCATTTAGTCAATATGACTGATAAACTGAAAAGCATACTGATTTCCTTGAAATTTGGAAACAACGTATCTTGACAGATTTTATACCAATGATATTCTCCGTTCTCCTTTAAAAATAAAGGACAAGACATGACAGCTGGAGAAAGGGCTAGAACAGCATCAATTCAGATCGTCGAGCTGGAACTATTCATCAGTTCCTTTGAGTTGAACACTGTCATACATGTAGTTGGACACAAAATATACTACATATATGTATATAAAGAAATTCAAAATTAAACCGTGAGTTTCACCCTAGTTTCATACGATTTAATACATCAGTTCCGAAGAATATTGCATCTTTAGAATGGATGAAGATAGTGAAACAGCTATTTTTCTCGTCGTCCCTCAACAAAGAAAATAAATCTAAAATCTTTATCCAAAAGCAATTCAGTGTGAACATTTTTATTTTTATCTTTTTCAAACATTGCATGCAGGAAACTTCCATGGGATAAACCTCATCGATCTCGCTGAGCGTAGATTCAATATATTTAACTTTATACCTTGTTGGGTAGAGCGTCTGGTGAGTAAAAATACAGAAAAATAGCCATTCCATTATCTTAATCCACACAATGTACAAGATGATAAGCAATTCTACGTAAAACTGATAAATGAAAAATGTCCATACAATTCATAACTCTCCAGTCCAGTTCTATGCTTTTTCTTGTCAAAAAGAATAACTTCTCTGGATCACTGCAAGAGTACTTGATTTGTGAACGTTAAGCAAGGAATGGATATCAACATTTGATCATGCCGTTAACGAATAGTTCCATAGGCTTACTGTATAATAGGGAACAACATACAAAGAAGTCTGCATATATAATGGGTGAGACAAAAGTTTTGTATTAAGTTTTTTTTTCACTTTCACTATTTTTTGAATAACTTTATGTTGTTCAGAGATATGCAGCTCGGATTTTCACCATTGAAAAAGGCGATCGCTGCAGTGTCTATCTGTATAATATTCACTGCAGTCGAAGAATATTATATACATAGACAGTTCAGTAATCACTCTTTCGAATGGTGAAAACTCGAGCTCGGTAGCTTTGAATAATCGAAAATTATTCGATAAAATGTCGCACGGAACGATATCGAACGTTTGTGGGAAACTTAGACAAAGGTGACATCAAAGAGCTTTTGTCAATCTGCCATTAAATGTTTTTCTATAGTTCAGATATTGCTCTTTCTAATACTAAAAAAATGATGTAAAAATAATGACCCGTTGTGAAGCACTAGTGAAAAACAAAATTAATGCAAAACTTTTGCCTCACCCGTTAGGTATACTCTTATATGTAAAAGACTACAATAAGATTTTTCCTAATACTATATAATCGTCTCTATTATCCTATGTGTATAAATCAGTATTATCCCGGAAAGTAAAATAAATAAAGAATGATCACATTATGATGATGTAGATTTTTATCTTTTTTGTTTTTTAATTATAGAATGATCAAAATAAAAGTTTCTCAATGACGAGTAAAGAGAAACCTCGTGATACTGACTCATCATCGTCTTCATCAACAGCAACAAGACCAAAATATAGTACAAAAGAAAGAGTTTGTACGACAGTTTCAGAACCACCCGTACATCGTCTTGATATTGAAGATTTATTTTCTAATCCATCGAATTCAAAAGATAAACCTAATTTAGACGTACTTAAACAACATATTTTACTTGAAGGTCGTCTTACTGAACAAGCTGCACTTCGAATTATCGAAGCCGGTAAGAAGATTTATTTTCTTCGAGTAAATACAAATATTCAAGAAAACAACCTATTGAGTTAGTTTTTAATTAGTATCAGTTATGCTTACCGACTAAACTGAATTATTTATTAATCCATCATGTACGAATGTCAGCTGAAATCTTTCTGTTTAAGACCGTTAAGCTTTATTCACCTATAATTCTCACGCCTTGCTGCCTCCATTTGTGTGATCCACCGAAATTCTGATTCAATTTTAAAACATAAGTTTAAAAGATGAATCTTTTATTATTTATATCCGAGGATTTCTAAAAAAGAACTATAAGTTACAGCCCAGCGAATGCAATATTTTATTAATGTGAGATCGGTCAGATAATTATTGTCAGATCCGGATTTACGTACGCTTCATAAAACTTGCAGATTATGATCTAATGAGTTCTGTTTTTGATTAATATTCAATATTTCATTTTGATCAATCAGGTTCTGCTCTTTTACACGAAGAGCCAACATTATTAAATATCGATGCACCATTAACTATTTGTGGTGATATTCATGGACAATTTTATGATTTAGTGAAGTAAGTAAATATTATTTTTGATTATTATTGAATGCTTATTTTTCTTGTGATAGATTATTTGAAGTTGGTGGTTCTCCATCTCATACCCGTTATTTATTTCTTGGTGATTATGTTGATCGAGGCGATTTTGGAATAGAATGGTTTCATATTATTGTTTGTTTTAATTTCATTTGAAGATATTTCTTTTATTTAGTGTACTTTATTTATGGTCACTGAAAATTCATTATCCTCAAACATTTTTTTTACTCAGAGGAAATCATGAATGTCGACATTTAACGGATCATTTTACGTAAGAAAATTTTTCTTTGATAATTATAAGAAAATCTTGATTTTATTTTTTATTTAGCTTCAAACAGGAATGTCTTGTCAAATATACAGAAAAAGTTTATGATATTTGTATGGAAGCATTTGATTGTCTTCCATTAGCTGCTGTGATGAATAATCAATTTTTATGTGTGCATGGTGGTCTTTCACCAGAAATTCATACTTTAGATGATATCAAACAGGTAAAATATATTGATTATCGATACATTCTAGCAAAGTACAGTTGCTGTCAGTAACCTTACTATCCAGTCTACGTATTTTCGTAAAGTTTAAGAGTCGTATATTACTCTGGGTAGAAAGTTGATTTGACGTAGTTTTCTTAAGCTTCCCACACAACTCCGAAGAATATCACATGGCTAAATTGGAGTATCTTTAAATAGATACTATATCATATAATGACATGACAATTGAGCCTCCCAATACTTGAGTCTAACATTGAGAATGTAATGTAATTTCAGTTTAACTATACGAACAATTATTAACATTGAAAATTGAATAATTCTTCTAGTCTTTTGAAGCAATTCTCTCATGCTTCTAAATCAAGAGCAAGGATCAAGTGTTATAATTATTCATCCATATATTCACTAGCAACACATTTTGTCTTTCGGTATTTCAGCTAGCTGTCTCTCATACATAATCAAATTTTAAGAG